TGCTGGTTTTCTAAAAATTCCAGGTATCACGGGGAAGGGAGGGAAGAGCCATGCAGGGCCTATGGGGAGCAGGGGTGGAAGGCAGGGGGGAGGAGCAGGAGTGGTGTGGGGGCCGGGATGTGGCCTCCATGCAGGGGCCAGGATGTGGCCTGCTAGGAGGAGCCAAGAGCGATGGGGGGGCCTGGGAGGGGGAGGTGGAAGCCAGGGGGCGGAGATGGCTTTTAACAAGTTTTTTCCTGGCTTGGAAATTTGCCGGTTTCTAAAGTTTTTAAGTGCCGGATAGCACAGGTTTTACTGTAATTGCTAGTATTTATGCTTCATTTTGTAACAAAGCAAAGCAATCTCGAAACAATTTTCTAGTTTATTCATTTGGATTTATGTTTGTCTCTTTTTTGAAGAAAAATTAAAAAAATAAAGAACAATCTCAAACATTAGAATATTAAAAATAGATCAATTGCATATTATTCCTTCCTGCCCAAAACAGTCTGAAAATTACAGTATTAACTTCCATTTATTCTTTCTCGTTAATAGCAATTTTGTGATAGAAGCACTGAAATACTATCCTAAGATACATACAAGGTCATTTCAATTTGGTGAAGTCCTCCACTCTAAGTACACTGCATGTGTAGCTTGGCATGAAGTACAGATGTCTTTAACACAAAACTAAGATATGGTGATGCTGACTCACTACAACAGAACCTAAGGATATATTATTTTAAAAATTCCTATTGTAGGAAGCTATCAAAATGAGCATGATATCTCCAGAACCTTCATTCCCTCCAACAGACGCCCATTTCACTGAGACCATGTCTGAAAATATGCAGATATATAGTGGGTTTCAGATATTCTAAATTGCATCAGCATTAAGTTTTGCCTCGAGATGCAAGCTTTCTGACATTTGACAGTGCCACAATGCCTTCTGTTAAGCTAAACATTGAATTCTGCCTTCCCACTTATTTTCAACCATTGAAAATTTTCTATAGGCTAATTTAGTCCCATTAAAAAAAGAATTCATTTGCGAGACCCAATCTGGTTGTCCAACAATACAAATATTTTCTCAGCAGTAGAGGTTTTCTGCTGTTATACTGTTTCAGCTATTGTGATTATCAGTCAGTTGGACATATCTGCTTTCCTTACAAATTAGGTTTTATTTTTAAAAAGTTTGAAAGTCTGGCATAGAAATACAAATCCCTTTATTAATCCATTTTTTAAAATCTTTATTCCAAAGAGAAGAGTGCCATAAAATTCTGCTTGCTGTTTACTCTCTTTATGTATGTAGCACTTAATTTCTTTATCTAACTTTAAGAAGGGATTGTCTATTTTTTAAAGTGTTGCCTCTATTAGACATGCCAGTGACAGTACCTGAGCATTTTCCTGACTTAAGTGTTTTCCATATTGAAAATTGTTTTGAACAGACACAGCAGCATTACATAGTCAGAGATTTAGTGAGAAGTCTCTCAGTTTAACAACTGTAAATTGCCTTTCAGTCTATGTGCCTTCAATGTTAGATTTAAGAGATTAGGTGATCGTTCCCTGCTCCAAACAAATGATCATTTGTATATTTTAAAACTAACTAGACTTCTGTCCAAAATAAAAGTGTTACCACTCCTCAGTTTAACTCTCTATTTAATGTTCTTCTTTTGCAAACGATCAGCATGGAAGTCAAAATATTTCAGTTTGATACCTTGTAACACCTCCCCCTACACAGCTGTTAAAACTGGAAGTGAAGACTACCATACTCAATTGATATTGCAGAGAAGATTTAGCACTAGATAAAAAAGTAATAATAATGAGAAAATTTGGTCAGTAAGATTCACATTCCTACTATGAGAAAAGGTATCATGAGATCTTTTGGTATCATTATCACTCAGAATCTTTGTTTTTATCACCTCCCTAAAAATGTAATAGAACACTGGATAAATGCCAACTCCAAGAGGAAAAGCCATAAGCAGTCTTTGATAGTCTCCTATCAAAGAACTTACTCAGTAAGATCCTACTTCACTATTAGAACACAATAAAACAGCGTTTTAAAAGTCTCCAACCTTTCAAAAACTATACACAAGTGTGGAAAGCAATGCCAGGTGCAGTTCCTGTGCCATCCAACTACAACAGGTCCTACAAATTTACACAGGAGTGGAAAAGCTTTAACTCTGCTGAGCCATGTTTACACAGGGACACACAGAAAAGTTAAGCCAAATTAACTAAAGATGTGAAACATTAGTTAAAGCATATTAAACCTGAGTATAAGAAAAAGTGAAATAAGGCCCCTTTACTTCTTCATGTGAGCCTCCACACAGAGATTTAATGCTCTTTAACTTCACATCTTCAGTTAACTCAGGCCTCGCCTACAGGGAGGGAAAGGGTTAAAGCCATGGCTTTTTGCTGAACATCAAGCATTACACAAGTCACAGTAATAGCATGCACATGGGATATTGTGCCCTCTGTCAATGTGCATCATTGTGTACCCACAGCAGCATTTCGCTGCAAATTGAGAGAAGGGCATTCTCTGAGAGTATTCCATCTTCCTTTGCTCTGCCACTGAATGATGTGTATTCTGAAACTTTTCTTGCTGTTCACTATGGAATGAATAGTGGGAAGCCAGTCTACTTCAAATTCTTAAATCCCATGATTCATCTGTCTCAGTGCAATACTTCCTTTATGCATGGGCTAGAACTATTTTCAAATTGCTATGAGCCAACAGAGACCCAACAAGACTTCATGCCACTATCGTGTTAATCTCAAATGGACAGATGTTGATTAGGATGAATTTCAGCATTCAAACTACTGGCCAGAAGGTTCCTTAAGTAGCCTGGTTTTGAGTCACCACATATTTATGAAAATCTAATGTAGGTCCTCAAAAAACTGACAAGTTTTGTACATCCCCTACTACATTTTTTCTGTTGTCCCTTGTTTCAATGTAGGTATCCTTGACCGGTTTGCTTTTTAGCCAGTCCTGTTTGGCATTGCATTCATGGCCCCACTAATATCCATGAAAGGACTTTGCTCTATTGGCTGTCCACAGGATCTTTTATGCACTAACCCTTTTCCTCAGGATCTTGGCACAGCTCCAAATAACTGCTCAAAAATGTGTTGTAGAACCTTCTAGAGAATTATCACAGGCATTGTGATCACCTGGGATCCAGGAGCAAAAGGACAAAATCTGGCTGTGCCATCTTATCAACTGAAGTGACAGCATCCAGTCAACATGACCCCAAAGCAGGGCAAGGCCTGCATGTGTACAGACACGTCAATAATGGTTACTCACAAATCAGTGTCAGACAGCCATTGGAAGACTGCCAAAGTAGCTTTCAGCAGCACTGCATTCATGAAAACAACAGTCCACACTAACTTCACAGCAAAGTTAGTTCACTTTGAAAGAGGACTGCAGAGTCCCTGTTAAATGCAGTGTCAGTGTTCTACAATGAATTCCCTCATGTGTATGCAAGCAATTTCAAAGTGGATTAATTCAAAATGCTGCAGATTAAACTCCCCATGTAAACAATCTCTCTGTTTAACTCTTCTATGTGTAGGCATGCCCTCCGTCTCAAGAAATTCACGTTATTCAGCTCATAGCTCGGACTTCAAATTTTGAAAATTAAAATAAGAGTGATTGTGCATTGTGTGCTTAATTTTAATTACAAGAGATATTTAATCAATAAAATATTCACTGTTAAAAACTGCATATGCATTCAGAATAAGAAACTACTACACAACAAATTTATTAGGACTCATTAGCAAGACTGAGTCTTTCAAACTCTGGAAATCAGATCCAATGTGAAAGTTAACACTTAGTATTCCCTGATGATTTATTTTTTTTAAAGAAAATTGTTTGTCTTTGCTGAAAAAATTCAGTGCTAAACCCTTGTGTGCATATATCAGAATACTAAACAGAGTTCTAATTCATGACGATTTGCAGATAAAGTCTTTTCGACATGAGGAGGTTACTCACCTTCCTGTAACTGATGTTCTTTGAGACGAGCGTCCCTGAGGGTACTCCACAGTGGGTGCTGGTGCATCCCAGCGCCTCTAGAGTACCAGCACCCACTATGGAGTACCCCCAGGGATGCCTCTTGAAGAAGAATCTCTACATCCTGCCGGACCATAGATGTTCCTGAACAAGAGAGCAGGGATGCATGATAGCCTGGCAGTGGGAGCAGAGCTGTGGTAGCCTGGCTGGCAGTAAGGCAGGGCCACGGCAGTCCAGCAGAGAAAACCCGTCAGGGTCATGGCAGCCGAGCCAGGGCTATGGCAACCCAGCTGGGATCGAAGCAGGCTGGCAGCCCGATTGGGGCTGCGTGCTGGACAGCAGAGGGACTGGTGCTGCCACAGCAACTGGGCTTGGACCAGGGCAGTTCAGTCAAGGCCACATGCCACCCAACAGCGGGGCTGGTGTCACGGCAGTAGGGCCAAGAATTCATGCTGCTATGCCAGCACTAGGGTTGGGGCAGCTGCTCTGGCAGTGGGGCCAGGGAAGCCATGTTGCCCGGACAGCAGTGGGGCCAAAGGAATCAGTAGCAAGGAGGGGCAGCAGACTGAAGGGGCCAGTGGCAGGGGACCTTCCCTGGTCCCACAAATTCTCTCATCCAGGACCACTCAGGCCCAGAGGGTGTTGGACCGTGGAGGTCCAACCTGTAGTTAACACACCTATTTATGATGACAGATTTTCTAGTTCACACTCTGCTAACATTATTAGTTGTAATATATCATATATTTTGTGGGAAGTTTGCAAAATTCTGAATACAAATATTTAAAGAAAAAAATTAAGGTATACCAATTATTTACTAAATATTATCATTTTCTGCTAATTTGACAAACAAAGTTTGAAATAGAACAAATACTGGAACTGTGTTCTTTGTTTTTACCATTTGGTAACATGACAATATTTTGGGGTATCACTAACAAGCCACAACTCAAGTAAAATTCTTCAGTGACAGAAACAATGTAATTATTGCCATACAAAAAACTTACTGAAAGAAGCTTCCATGTGATAGCACGAACTTGTTTGGGAATTCCAGACCAACTCAGTTTCCGTAATTCATCTGCCAAATGAAATCAATTTAATGAGAAGTCAAACACTTAACTAATGAACATTTAACAATACAAGCAAATTAATACAAAAGTGTTTATAATAATATATATCAACGTAAAATTATTTATTACCAGATATGTTGTATATGAATATGCATAAGAGACTTACTGTAGGCTTTACATATACTGACGTTAACTAAAAGGCAACAACTAGTAATAACTCAAACTGCAATGTTTCACTTTGCGATAGTGGAATTTTATCTTAAATGTTAAAAATGTTATTTCCATTTCCAGTCATATTGTACAACGTTATACTGTATATAGGTTCTTTAGAAACTTGTTTCCAAGAGCGAATAGCTAACATAGCATATCCAACTAAACCAAATACACTAATACAGGGATTCCCAAACTTTTTGACACTGGGACCAGTAAATCCATTCATGAGCTTTTGGAGGACTGGTAACATTCATTTGCATATTCATTAAGCAAATGATGAATATTCAAATAAGTTGTTTCTGGTCCTCCCAAAGCCCCCAGTGCCAGCATTAGCAAAGCTTTTGATACAGACACCCACAATATTCTTGCCAGCAAGCTAAGGGAATATGGATTGGATAGATGGCTAGAAAGCTGGCTAGATCCAGGTTTCCCAAACTTTTTACTTTAGTTGGAACCAGTTTTTTTTCAGTACGGTTTTTTGCAGCCAAAAAATATAAACACACACAAAAAAAGAATGAAAAATGAATACATTTTCAGTGTTTCACCCGGCTGCATCCTCCACCCAGCCTCGGCCAGGGCTTGGGGGACCCGGCGCCACATGGGCACTCCAGGAGGCGGGAGCAGGAACAGATTGGGGGTAAGGTATCTGGCTAGGAGGGAGGGTGCAAGGAAGGGTAGGGTTGCCAGGTGTCCGGTTTTGTACCGGAGGTCCAGTATTTGAGGGTTTTGTCTGGGAAACAAATTGAGAAATTACCAGACATATAAAATGTCTGGTATTTTCTAATTAGGTAAGTTTTATTATAATTAGATGTATCAGTCCTTAACTGGGAACTGACTGGCTGGTAGATGTGCTCACGCTGCCTGAGTGTTTCTACCTGCCAGGCAGTTTGCAACTACTGGAGGAACAGTATGGGAGATGGGGCAAAATGGAATCCCTCGCCAGACTCTCTCATCTGCAGGGTCTGCATGTGACTGGGTGTACCCAGACAGGCCCCCCCTGTCACGTCCATCTTGTTTGCCCCTCTGAGGTGCCTGGAGAATGCAGGGCAGAGAGGAGCAATAAAATCAGCATAGCCTTTGAAGCCTCGATGCGAGGCCAGGATATGACAGCTCATCTGATCCTAGGTAAGCTGAAAACATATATATGAGAAAGAACGATTAAGGCAATGAGCTGACCTCGAGGCTGCAGCACCCATGTTGATACGAACACACAGTCCCTGGAAGAGGAATTTCCCACTGAGAAAAGAATGCCCAGTACTTCCAATTTAGTTATCTCTCTTACAAGTGTAAATTAAGTTCACAACTCCCTTGTAAGAACTGGTGACACAAAGACGGACCAGCACCATTTGGCATCACAGGTAAGAAAGAGAAATACATGACCCCATGGGTATAAAGATGGGTCCAGCAGCACACTCACTTTGAGTATCAATCTACCATCTATCTCCTGGTCGGGTTAGGTGTTTGACCTCCCGAGGTCCACGGGGACGCCCACCTCGTATTACATTTTTCCGAGGAATTGAGGAACCAATCCTGGCCTGACACACTGTGACCGAGCGACGCAGAAGGGGGTAAAAATTGTACCTGTATGTGTCCTTTTGTTTTAGTGCATGCATAGAATAGAGCTCTTTAAAGATTAAGCTGTCACTTGGTACCATTATTTCTATTTTCTATCTTCCTTCTTCCTGTGTAACCATAAGATCTGTATTTGCTAGCAGTTAAGAAATAGAGCAATAGCCATTGTAACCATATGATTTATAAGATTCTTTAATAAACCTGTAACTGTTTAAGCTGTAACCTGACTCCTTCAGTTGCTGTATTAAAACCAAGCACAATTTAAAAGAACTTCAGCCGGTCATAAGGGAAAGATAGGAAGAGCTGGGGCATTTGGATCGTGTTGCTTCCAGAGGACAAATCCGTAGGGGCATCTCTCAGTCTTCCCTAGGCTGCCCACTGCGAAGGGATACTGTATCCTAGCAGTTAAAATCTGAGATGTAATAAGCTCTTCCTATAAACTCTGGGTTCTCCCGTCCTCCTCCTCCTCCTGATCTCCCCCGTCCAGCCTCCCCTACCCCCCACCTCCTCCCAGCCTGCTCTGCTCTACCCCCATCCCAGCAGCCACCAGGCACGCTGAGGCCCGATATTTTTTTCCTGTGGCCCAGTACTGGGCCGTGGCCCATAGTTTGGGAAACGCTGCACTAATATACTCTATCTAAAGCCACTGAACATCTATCAAGCTATAATAATGTTCACTATTTTTCTTTATGAATTCTGAGTTTATATAATACATAAAAAGCATGAAAAATATTACATGACAAGAGATGCCTAATAATGTTTGTTAGGAAACCTAAAACTCACTCTCTTGCTTCTTCTCATTGTGGGCAGAAAGTGAGGATGAAAATCCTCCATTACGGCCAAGTGATTATATTTACTTATGTATATATTATATATAAAAGTAATCAAGATTTAGGTTCTACATATAAATATGCAGAATTTTTACAATCTAGTCAGTCTTTGAGAACTTCCATCCCACCAAATAGTCCTAAGAAAACCACAAAACAGACTACAAATTATTAGAGGATTGAGACTCTGAGGAGATACTGCAAGTGCTTCTCTAACTAGTACTGCTTAGAACATAATTCTTGATTGCTAAATTATAAGATTTGTCACAAGTTAGTGTTGTTGCCTTTTTAGAACATACTCTGTTTACTTCCTGTACACTGCCAAAAAGTTTTACAAATGTATCTTAAAGTCCATTTTAATATTTTCTGGTTGATTGATTTTTTTTAATGTTTCCAATTTTGGGGGAATAGGGAGGGTTATAATTAAGACTTGAAATATCCACTTGAAATGTTCTTCAGATCTGGGAATAAGAAAATGATATTGTATGTTCCTCTGTTTGAAATGACTGAAGCAACATTAATACTTCTTAGAGTTATGAGAACATTTTAAAAGATTTTGTGTATTTAAAAACCCCGAACTCTCAGCTTTGTGCAAAAGTTTTACATTTACTCTTTATGACACCTACGAGGATTTGATTATTTTCCATCTGCAACTTCACTTAATGGTTTTACTGAATGATTGTTTCCTACTCAAATAATTTTTAAGGAGACATAATTTCTATTACATTTAATGAGATTTTATTTACAATTATCTGAGTTACCAATTTAAATTCATAATTTTTAATAAAGCCAATTTTTAAACCTTTGGCACTGAGTTTATTGATACTAGGTAGTGTACTCTAGAAGCAAAAACATGTCAAGGTTGTAGAAATGTTTCAAATGTTACTCTGCACCTTAAGCCTAGTATTATATTTTAGGGTTCTTATAATCTCAGGCTTTAGCCCCTCAATGACCAGATCTAAACCTTCTATTTCTAAAACAGTAAAAGCTGTTTTATCTGGCACTTCACCAACTGGAAAGCTTTGTAATCATGGTGTCCAACCAGTTCTCAAGCAAACTAGCCACACTCAACCAGCCATGAGTAGCCACATGTGGTTAGTGAGTTGGACACCATGGCTCTAAAATAAACTTGGCATTTCTGATCTTCTTGGAAAGTCAGGTTTATAGTTCAGTGGAGATGGGGACAGCAAGCTCCCTACCTGCCTTTTCATGGCTCCCCAGGAATAGCAACATGTCCCTGATACTCCTAGGAGGAGGAACAGTCATGGGTGCTCCATGTAATAACCCCACTCCCACCCAAAGCACTGGTTCTGCAGCTCCCATTGGGAGTTGCAGGGCAGCACCTGTAGCCAGAGACAGTACACAGAAGCACCTAGCCATGCCTCTGCCTAGGAACAGCAGGGACATGTTCTCACTTGCGGAGGAGCTATCTGATGTGAGTGCCACCCAGATCCAGCATCCTCAAACCCTTGCCATGCTCCACCCCCCCCCCAACCTGGAGCCCCCCTCCTAAACCTCCAAACCTCTCATCCCTCACCCCACCCCAGAGCCTTCACCCAGAGCTGAAATCCTTCCCCTCCCATACTTATTCCAGTTAAATTGACCAGAATATCTGACTAACTGACACTTTCCCCATTCCTACAACAAGGAAAATAACCAAGTTTTTACTATATATGCTACCAAGAAATTTAACTTAAAAGAAGTGGCTCTAGGGCTACTGCAGCGTGTGAGAGAGAGACCTCCCTTCTTCACTGTACAACACAGTGGCTGCTATAGTGGGGAAAACACACACCTCTTTTCTCAGCCCCAGCACAGTAGTTACTGCAGAGAGGGAGAGACCGCTCTCCCTAAATTACTGCTAAAACTTAATGGAAATCACTTGTCCAGACAAGAACTTTTTATACATAGCTTTGCAATGGTACAAACAACATCTGGAAAGATCATGAAGTGGTCTACTGAAACTCCCAACAATTTTGAATTGTTTTTTTTTGGGGGGGGTGTGGACATGAAGTGGTCTACTGAAACTCCCAACAATTTTGAATTGGTCCACACCCCCAAAAAAAAAAAAAACAATCAGAACCACTGACATGTTAATCCACTCTCCACTGAACAGTAATTCCCGTCCAGTTAATCCAACCCTTGTCTTCCATTTATCTACATCCACAAGCATTTCCGCCATGGTCTTTCACCGTTCAAAGCAACTACTATCCTGAATGCCCATGAATATAGTTAGTACCCAATCCTGCCCAAAAAGCCTGAGTAAAGAGAAAAAAAAACCATGCCTTTGTAGTGTCCCACTAGGTCAACACATTAGGGTTCTGGCAGGATTGTAAGGAAGAGAAAGGGGCTCTAGAACAGAAAACTGAGAATCCCTAACAAGGAACAGTCTGCTACAG